CAGGATTTACTATTGTAACCACATGCGCACGCAACTCAGTGTTAGAACATTCGCATTGGCATCCACCTGTCACCACTGTCTAGTTACGCGATTTTCTCACCACCCCCTAATGGAAACCCAGTTCTCATGGAGCAATCATCCCCCATTTCCCCTCCTCCAAACTCCTGGCAACCACTAATCTGCTTTCTGTCTGTGTGGATGCTTATTCTGGATATTTTATTATATAATATTTGTTTCTGGCTTCTCTCACTTCGCATGTTTTCTAGGTTCATTCATGTTCAGCATGGATCAGTCCTTCCTTCCTTTTATAGGTGAATAATACTCTATTGTATGAATATAGCACATTTTGTTTGTGAATTCATCTGTTGATGGACACTTGGGCTGTTTCCACTTTTTGCTATTGTGAATAGACCTGCAATGAATATTTATGCCCAAATTCTTGTTTGAACACCTGCTTTCAATTCTGCTGGGTATGTACCTAGGAGTAGAGTTCCTGGGTCATTGCACTTAACCTTCTTGAGGGAACCACCAAACTGGTTTCCCAAGCGGCTGCATTATTTCCCATTCCCGCCAGCAATGGAGGAGTGCTCCAATCTCTCCCCATCCTCATCAACACGTGGCTTTCCATTTTTCAAACCATCCTAGTGGTGTCTCACTGTGTGCATGCATTTAACAGCTCTAGAGAGAAGCAGCTCACATCCCATACGATTCACTCGTCCAGAGCAGAATTCCAGGGTTTCTAGTGCATTCGCAGACATATGCAATCACCCACATGATGCATTTTAGAGCACTTTCATCACCCCAGAAAGAAGCACTGAGTGCTTCACCGACCGCCTCCTGCTCCTTCCAGTCTCCTGCCCCCGCCCTCGCCGGCCACCACCTGGCTTCCTATCTCTATACATCTTTCTGTTCTTGGTCTTTCACATGAATGGAATCACGTCTGTGGTCTTGCACGACTGACTCCCCTCACTTAACATATGTTCAGGCTTTAGCCTTGCCCAAGCACATAAAAGTACTTCATTTTTGTTTGGGACCAAGCAGATAATCCATGCCGGACAGGAGCTCACTGGCGGATGGCCTGGGGTGAGTCCTCTTTGGCTGTTATGAGCAATGCTCACTTCTCTTGGGTCTCTGTGGAACTGCTGGGTCAGCCGGCCACTGCGTGACGAGCAGTCTGAGGAACTGTCAGGCTGCTTCACAAAGAACCGCTTCCCATTCCCACCAGCTCAGAAGAGGGCTCCAATTTTCCACACCCTCGCCAACACTAACTTTTTTTTTTTTTTAATTTATTTGATAAAGTTAGACAGTGAGAAAGAGAGAGAGACAGAGAGAAAGGTCTTCCTTCCATTGGTTCACCCCACAAATGGCCGCTACGGCCAGTGCGCTGCGCCAATCCAAAGCGGGGAGCCAGGTGCTTCCTCCTGGTCTCCCATGCGGGTGCAGGCGCCCAAGCACTTGGGCCATCCTGCCTTCCCGGGCCACAGCAGAGAGCTGGACTGGAAGAGGAGCAACCGGGACTAGAACCCGGCGCCTATATAGGATGCCGGCGCCGCAGGTGGAGGATTAACCTAGTGAGTCATAGCGCTGGCCCAACTTTTTGTTCTTACCATTCTTCCCATCCTATAGTTCCCTGTCCTCATGGGTGTGAAGTGGCATCTATCGTGCCTTTGATGTCTTTCCCTGATGACTCATGCTACCGAGCATCTCCTGGGCTCTTTGGTCATTTGTTTATCTTCTTGGGGAATGTCCATTCAAGTCCTTTCTCCATGTTAAGTTGGGTTGCTATCTTCTTGTGTTGGAACCTAAGAGTGCTTTATATATCCTGAATTACACAGTTGTTTCAGACCTAAGAGTTTCTCCCATTCTGTGGGTTGTCTTTCATTCTCTTGATAGTGTTTTTCAATAAAAGTTTTAAATTTTTACCAAGTCCAATTTATCTATTTTTTCATAGAGCATTTCGTGTATTTTTAAATTTATAAATTCATTTTAAAATGTTTTTGAATGTGTTTACTTGAAAGGCAGACAGACAGAAAGACAAAGATCTCCCACCTGCAGGTTCACTCCACAAATGCCCACAAGAGCCAGCGCTGTTCCATGTCAAACCCAGGAGCCTGGAATTCAATCCAGGTCTCCCACATGGGGAGCAGGAACCCGCCCCCTTGGACCATCACTGCTGCCTTCTTGGGCCTCCATCAGCAGGAAGCTGGAGTCATTTGCACTGGGCACTGAATCCAAGCACGCTGGTGTAAGATGCGTGTGTCCTAACTGGGCCCAATGTCCATCCCTTAAAGGACATTTCTGATCACATACCCTCACTCCAGGTTGGAAAACCTTCAGGAGTTTCTTATTCCCTTGTGGATTCCCAGAGCTCTTCTTAGGAATGTAGTCTGCAAATGACTTATGGACAGGGAAGACTTCCATCCTGTTAAAAAATACTGTCACCCGTGCAGGCGGTAGCCTTGTACATCAGATGCCTGCACTGCATACTGCAGTGTTGGGGCCCAATGCTTTGCTCCACTCCTCACTCCAGCCTCTTGCTAATGCACACCCTGGGAGGCAATGGTGATGGCTCAAGTGCTTAGGCCCCTGCCACCCACATAGGAGACCTGGATTGAGTTCCCACGTTCCTAGCTTTGGCCCAGCTCAGGTTTTGGGAGGAGTTTGGAGAGTGAGCTAGTGGGCATGAGTTCTGATTCTCCCTCTACCTCTCAAACATAACTAGAAACAAAAATTAAAAAAAAAGAAAAATATGGGGGCCAGCTTAGTGGATAAAGCCACAGCCTGCAGTGCTGTCATCCCATATGGGCACCCATGTGAGCACTAGTTCAAGTCCTGGCTGCTCTTCTTCTGATCCAGCTCTCTGCTATGGCCTGGGAAAGCAGTGGAAGATGGCCCAAATGCTTGGGTCCCTGTACCCACATGGAGGACCAGGAAGATGCCTGGCTCCTGGCTTCAGAACGACCCAGCTCCAGCCATTGTGACCATGTGGGGAGTGAACCAGCAGACAGGAGACCTCTGTCTGCCTCTGCCTGTCTGTGACTCTGCCTTTCAAATAAGTAAATAAATAAATAAAAGATTTGTTGGTTTATTTGAAAGAGTTCCAGAGGGGAGGGGAGACATTACACATGAGAGAGATTTTGCATCTGCTGGTTTCCCAGATGACTGCAACGGCCAGGGCTGAGCCAGGCCCAAGACAGGAGCCAGGAGCTTCACCTGGGTGTCCCAGGTGGGTGGCAGGGGCCCAAGCTTTTGGGACAACCTCCACTGTTTTCCCAGGTCACTAGCAGGGAGCTGGATCAAAAATGGAGCAGCCAGGACTTGAACCAGTGCGCACGTGGGATGCGGCATGGCTTGCGACAGCAAACCAGCTACACCAGAACGTAGGCCCCGAAGGAACAGTTCTGACAGAGCTATCACTGCGAAGCTCCCTGTGGGCACCACCAAAGGTGCCTCGCTCTGCCGCCTCCCAGACGTGAGGGCATCCACCTTTCCTGGTGCTTCTCCGGGAGGCCGCAGAGGGCCATGCTTTCCCATAGGTGATGCTGTGACTGTTTGCGTGGATGCCTCCAACAAGACCTCCATGGGGCCTTGCATGCATCAGGTGACTGAGCTCAGAGAGACCTGGGTGCCACACGAGGGGGGAGCTCTGAAGAGAATGGAGGGTTCCAGTGGGAGGGAGGTCAGCTTTTTCCGATTGCACGGTTTTGCTGGCAGATCTAGCCTGGCCCTGGATCTCTATGGCTTTGTTAGCTCCGGGGGCGGGAAGGGGGCTGCTTTCCAATTTCCCACCTCCTCATACTCATGTTGGGTTTGGGCGAAACTTTCCAGAGCTGAGTATGTCATTTGCAACCTGAAGAGAAAAGGGAAGAAAAGCTGGCACCAGGGGGCCGCTTTGCCCCAATCAAGTGAGAGTAGGAGAGAGGGGGGTAGAGGGAGGGGGGGTTGGAGGGGAAATAAAGGAAGAACGACTTGGAAAGAGGCAGTTGGCAGGGGTGAGCAGCAGGTACAGGAGCTGATGGTGGCAGCTGTGCACGCTGGGGGCTGAGCCAGGAGGCAGATGGTTTGTAGGTGGCTGGCTGGAGGAACCGGGTGAGCACTCAAGGCCCTGCCTCATTCAGTAACACTGCGCGCTGCCCTTGAACTGAGACTTCTCCCGCTGTGGCCGGCTTGCCTGCCCCGCCGCCGCTGCGCAAGCTCCTTCAGAGTTCCGCCACCTCCGCTGCACCCCGCCTCGGGCCTCCCCTCAGTTTCTAGGATGGGGGGGGGGGTGCCCAGCTGCCCTCCACCCTTCTGCCCAGATTTCCATACCCACCCCCAGCTCTTCCCGGGGTGAACCTTGTCTTTGGGGTCCTCAATCCTCACCTACTTCTGGCTCCCATCAGAGCGGAGCCTCAAAGCCCACCCGGACTCCCACCCTCCCCTGCCCATCCCATCGCACCTGGCGGCCACAGCTGTGCGGCCACCTGCCCGTCAGTCTTCGCAGTCAAACTCAGATCTCAGGATGAACTCAAGGGCAGCGTCACCACGCAGCCCCCACTGCAGGGGCCTGGAGCCTAAGCCCACTTCTGAATACCTCGCCCCTTTCATGCCTCCTTCCTCTCTCCCACGGGATCAGCCAACCACTTCCGGCCTCCTTGAGCCACCTCCTCCCCAGGGGTCACCAGCCCTCTTCCGGAGACCTCAAATCTCACCCTAGCGCCCTTAACACACTTCAGTGGCCCCCCACTGCCCACGTTCCTTAAGCTAAGGTTCGACCGGATTTACAAGTTTGAGGGGGGAAAGCATGGATTCTCTCTAGTGAGGCCTCTGGGGAACACAGGGCTCCGCGCTCTGGGGGTCAGCCAGAGCCGGCGGGTGAGGTGCACCGCCCCCCCCCCCCGCCCCCGAGATTCCTGGCAGAGCAGAGCAAGGTTCGGGAAATCCTGCTACCTCTAGGACCTAGAGGATCCGAGTAGGGGGTCACCCTCCCCGCCCCCCAGCGAGGCAGCGAGGTCGGCGCCGGAACTGCTCTAATGGGAACCAGCGGCCGGGCGCTCCGGGAGGGCTGCGGGATTCCTGCGCAGGTCTCAGGGGGCCATGCACTGCGCGCGCCCAGCCGGGGGCCACTCGCGGCGGCCGCAGCCGGGCCCGGCCTCCCCGCGAAGCTCCACGGACGCCCTGAGGCACGGCTGCAGAATCCGGGCTCTGCGCGCGATTGCCCACACGGAGGGCGGGCTAGGGGCTGACGCGGTCGCGCCCTCCAGCAGGGGGACCGCCCCCAAAGGGCCCAAACCCTTCCATACTTCGTGCTCCCTCCTGGGGACGGGGGCGGCGGGAGTGGCAGAGAGCAGAACCCAGAGGCGCAGCCCGGCTGCCCGGGGTGGGGTGTCCGCACGTGGAGCCGTCGCTGGCGCGAGCGCCAGAGGTCAAGCCCCAGAGGACGCCGCGGGGAGGCTGCAGGAGCGTGGGGTGGGGCCTGGGGCGCAGCCCGAGAAGTGGGAGGGGATAGGTTGAGGGGTGGTCTCTGAGGAGGAGCCAGGCTGGACCGCATTGTTCCGCACTCCGTCGCCTGGTGCGCGCGGCGCTGGCCGGGGCGGGCGCGCTGGGCTCTGGGTGCTCAGCTTCCCGGATTCCTCTCCCGGCCCCCGGGCCCCGGCCTCGCCGCTGCCCTGCTCGCCTGGGGTGGGGGTGGGGGTGGGGGTGGGGGTGGCGTGCGGGTCTTCCGAGGCGGTGCGGAGAAGGGGATCCCTCTGCCCCGCGCTCCTGAGACTGCCCCATCGCGGGGTGGGGGTCACGAGTTGGCCGCTTCCGCCCGGTGAACCGATCCGGAGGCGGGTGGGCCGTGGGAAACCAGGGTCAGTGACCCCGGCCGCGCCACAAGCGCCCGAAAGAGTGGGGTGCCTGGGTCCCCAGTGATGGCCGCCGGCCGCCGCCGCCGCGCGGAGCGGTTGCGCGGACATTGGGGTGCCCCTCCCTAGCGGGGCTCAGCTCCTCCGCGACCCCGGCCCGGCCGGCAGGATGGGGGGCGGCGGGTCAGCCCTGAGGGTCTGTGCCGACCACCACGGGGGGATCAACTGGCTGAGCCTGAGCCCCGACGGGCAGCGACTGCTGACGGGCAGCGAGGACGGCACTGCCCGGCTCTGGAGCACCGCCGACGGCCAGTGCTGCGCGCTCCTGCAAGGTAGACCCGCCTCGCCGCGCGCTCCCGACCCCCTCCCTTGACTTCCCCGCCGCCAGCTCACCTGCCCCAGGCAGAGGACCTGACCCTTCGTCCGCAGATCCCCTTCCCTGTCCGTCCCCGCACGCTGGTGGAAGAGCGCTCGCCCAGGCCAGAGTCCGGCGCACCGCGGCCAGGGGTAAAAGGCTGCGGGTGCGGCTGGGGGTTGGTGGGCCGAGGGGCGCCCGCTGCGGAGGCAACGACCATGTGTCAACCGGCTGTACCAAGTCCTTACCGCTCCGACAGTTTAACAAACAAAAAGTTGCACCTTCACTCTTGGAAAGCAAGCCTTGCCTGGCCTCTGGGTAGCCTTGTGACCTTTGGCTGACTGTGGGGCCATCGTGGTGGGCAGTGACGTCCCGGACGTGTGTCATCTGCACTGTGTTATCTCACGAGCAGACGTAGCTGCTGAGGCTCAGAGCCACCCAACTTGCCCTGGGTGGCACAGCCAGCGTGGACAGGTGTAACAGATTTGTCCCACCCTGGCCAGCTGTCCTCTCTCCTCTTTTCCCCACCCCTGCCCCCCACGTCTCTGCACTGTGGAAGGAAGGGGAGTGGACTGGGACTGATCCAAGTTTCTCAAAAGAGGGGTGAGACAGCAGTGTATCACACAGTGTACAGATTTGGTGACAGTTCTACAGGCACACACCTGCTGATTTGGCCTGTGTGCTGGGTGTGTCCTCCCCCCACCCTGCCCCCCTGGGGCCTGTGTGTTGCCTGCAGGGATGGACGCTGATCCTGCCAGAGTAGCCCGCCCAAGGCCCCTGGCGAGACAGCAGGCTTTCTGTCCTGGGTGTCCCCCCACCCCCACCCCACCCCCGGCAAAACCTGGGCTGCTTCTTTTCCTTCCATAGGATATTAGCCTCAGTATTGGCTGCTCCGGACACTGTCGGCTTTAAACAAAAACAGGGTAGATATTTCAAAGCTCGGTAAGGAAGAGTGTGGGCGAGAGTTGATCGCGCAGTCCCCTCTCCCCTAGGTAGTCACACACGTTGGTGAGCCCTCTACTAAGCGTAGAAGATGGGAAACACGCTAGAAATTCTTCATCCAACTTGCATTGCTTCCCAAACATAAGCCTTTATTTGAAGGGGTTTCAGAAATGCAGAGTCCTGGGCCTGGGCTCCCGTGATTTTTTCTTCCCCCATGAATAGGACTCTTGAATTGTTTCTTTTTTTTTTTTTTTAAGTTTTTATTTATTTATTTGAAAGGCACAGTGATAGAAAAAGAAGAAGAAATCTTCCATCCTCTGGTTCACTCCCCAAATGCCTGCAACAGCCAGGGCTGGGCCAGGCCAGAGCCAGGAGTTCCACCTGGATCTCCCATGGGGGTGGCAGGAACCCACCTACTTGAGCCATCATCTGCTACCTCCCAGGTGCATTGACAGGACGCTGGATTGGAAGTGGAGCTCAATCGTGGACACTCCAATATGAGATGTGGGCATTTTGAGTGGCAGTGTAACCTGCTGTGTCACAAACTCTGTCTCTGGAATTGCATTTCTTCATTTTTTTTCTTAAAAGATTTATTTGAAAGGCAGAGTTGCACAGAGAGAGAGAGAGAGAGAGAGATTTGCCATCTGCTGGTTCATTCCCCAAATGGCTGCAAAGGCAAGGAGTGGGTCAGGCCAAAGCCAGGAGTCTCAAACTCCATCTCGGGCTCCCACATGGGTGGCAGGGGCCCAAGCACCTAGACCATCTTCCACTGCTTTTCCAAGGTGCATTAGCAGGGAGCTGGAGCCAAAGCAGAAAAGCTAGGCTGGAATTGGTTCTCTGATACCAGATGCCGGTATCACGGCCTGTGGCTTAAATGCCCCTAGAATTGGCATTTCTAACAAGCTCTGGGGTTGGTCTGATGCTCAAGTAACCAGGGAGCCCTGGGGTCCAGGTCTCATTGTGGGAGCCCAGCTTATTAGCTGAGTTTCTCCTGTCAACAGCCAAGCTTTTCCAGGCTCGTCCTGGCCTGGTGGTGCCTGGCTGACCACCCCCTCTGCAGCCTGACCCATCCCCCAGGGTGCACCTTCCTGCCCAGCTCTGCACCTGGCGTCTGGGCCTCCTTCCCTGGCACCCACTTGGGTGGCCCTCATAGCTCCTTGTTTGAATGCTCTGGGGGGTGGGGCAGTGTCCGACCTTCTGCCCTAGCTAAGGGCCATCCTCCCTGGAGTGGAAAACTATTGGCCAGCTGCTTGGCTGTCTCCCCCACCACGAGAGTTTCTGCTGTTACAAGGGTTGGCATTTCAAGAATTTTTAAGGACAGAGGGGACAAAGGTAGCCTTTCTTTATTCTGAGGTCACTAATAGATTCAAGCTGTCCAGGAGTCATCTTGGGGGTGTGAGGGTCTCCTATTGTGTGGCTTCCCTGGGGAAAGCAAGGCCTTTGCCAGCCCCCTCCTGGAGGCGCCTTTGTATTGGTGACGTCAGCACATTTATTTAGGACCCTTGATTTTATGAATGTTCATCTGAGTGAGATGCGTGAGTAGTCCTCAGGACTCTGCCATCCGTGGGTGTGAGGAGGTGTGGACTGATTTGCCGACACAGCCCACTCTCCACGTTTTCTAGATCCTACCCTGGGAGGTGGGTGGGTGCTGTCTGGTGTCCCTGAGGTCCCAGGACTGGTCCCAGGTCACGGGGCTGGGCCAACAGCAGGGAGGGCATCCACCCTGCCTCGTGGCTGCTGCTCATACCCGGACACAGGGGCTATCTTTATTTTTATTTATTTATTTTTTTTGACAGGCAGAGTGGACAGTGAGAAAGAGAGAGAGAGAGAGAGAGAAAGGTCTTCCTTTGCCGTTGGTTCACTCATCAATGGCCGCCGCGGCCGGCGTGCTGTGGCCAGCACACCGTGCCTATCCGAAGGCAGGAGCCAGGTGCTTCTCCTGGTCTCCCATGGGGTGCAGGGCCCAAGCACTTGGGCCATCCTCCACTGCACTCCCTGGCCACAGCAGAGAGCTGGCCTGGAAGAGGGGCAACCGGGACAGAATCCGGTGCCCCGACCGGGACTAGAACCCGGTGCGCCGGCGCCGCTAGGCGGAGGATTATCCTATTGAGCCGCGGTGCTGGCCCACAGGGGTTATCAATGGCAGCCCCAGAAAAGCTCCTGACTCCAAATTCAGAGCTCCAGCCTCTGTGGAGTGCTTGCTCCCTGTATGGCTCTGAGCCCCCAGAAGCCCTCTGATCAAAAAGCCTGTTGGTCAGTTGTGAATTTCTTGGACAGAGTGGCTGGGCTTGATGGTTCTCACCGTGCCTTCCTCCTCTGAAGACAAGCATCTAGCTCTGTCCTCTGTAGCAGAGGCAAGTCGGGGTCCGGAGGCTTCCCTGTGTATCTCGCAGAGTTTAGGGCAGGAGGGCTGATCCTGTGCAGCAGAACCCTTGTGAGGTTGTTGCCCTTGAAGGCTTTGGGGTGGCAGAGCTGCGCCCTCACTGTGGACTGTTAGCTTTCAAATGCATGGAATCCGTTTTCAGATGCAGTTGATGGCTACTCCCAGTCTCCCCATCTTTCTCACTTTTCCCCCTGAGGGGAAAAAGTGCCCTCACTTGGGGGCACTTCACTCCATCAGTGAGCTCAACAACACTGCCCAGAATGGCAGCGCCTAGGACTAAGGGACGCAGCCCAAAGGGTGTGCCCACTGTAGCCAGTCCACAGTTTTTCTCACTGTGTCTTCTAATGACTGGGAAATTGACGACTGGGAGATTGGGTTTGACCTCTATTTCCTGGGAGCCCCACAATGTGGGCCTGGTGCTTTTTTTTTTTTTTTTTTAGATTTTATTTATTTATTTGAGAGGTAAAGTTACAGAGAGAGGGAGAGACAGAGAGAAAGGTCTTCCTTCTGTTGGTTCACTCCCCAAATGGCCGCAACGGCTGGAGCTATGCTGATCCGAAGCCAGGAGCCAGGAGCTTCTTCCGGGTCTCCCACACGGGTGCAGGGCCCAAGCACTTGGGTCATCCTCCACTGCCTTCCCGGGCCACAGCAGAGAGCTAGACTGGAAGAGGAGCAGCTGAGACTCGAACCGGCGCCCATATGGGGTGGCGGTGCAGCAGGTGGAGGATTAACCTACTGCGCCATGGCGCCGGCCCCCTCCTGGTGCTTTTGAACCTGTCTGGATTGACAACTGCTGGCCTCTGGTGAGCGGAGAGCTGGACTTGGCTCCGAGTGAAGCTGGATTGCTTGGGTTTGAATCCTGTTTCTTCTTCTGCCACCGTTTCTTCCTCTGTACCCTATGCTAGCAATGGTAACCTAGCCGAATGGAGTTGCGGTGGGGGTGAAACCAATTCGTGAACAGCTCTGGCATCGCATCGTCTTACCACTCATGCCTGTGTCCTGTGTGAGTTGGTCATTGGCGCCTGACTTCACCAGGTTACAGGTTCCTCCTAATTTGTGTCTCCGACCCTTTATTGTCCCCTTTGTGAATGGGGAAACTGAGTCTCAGATGGGCTGACCTCCTGAGCAGGTGGTACTTGAGCCAGCCTGATGGGCTAACTGTGCTGGGTGCCATTGTCGGTTTTGAAGATGCAAGAGGGCACGGGTCCTGTCCCAGTGAATGTGCAGACTGCATTGGAAATGGTTGAGGACCTCTGTGTGCAGTTGAACTTGTGATAAGCAGGCACTCTGGGGGTAGCCAGGGTTCAGCTCTTGGCCCAGGTGGGACTGGAAGGGAGACTTGAAGCAAGGGTGGCATTTGGAGGGGCTCAGTGAAGGAGGCCACCGAGACTTCAGGTAGGATGGAAGCAAAGGCTCAGAGACCCAGCTGGGCCGGGGGCAGAGGAGCTGCAGAACAGCAGAAGTTTGGTGGGGGAGAAGAGGTGCACACTTTTTCCTCATGAGCTCAAAACTCAGGTGTGTGTGTGTGTGTGTGTGTGTGTGTGTGTTTAAAGATTTATTTATTTGAAAGTCAGAGTTACAGAGAGGCAGAGAGAGACAGAGTCTTCACCTGTTGGTTCACTCCCCAAATGGCCACAACAGCAGAGCTGCAC